AGCGGGGGCTCCGCGGGGGTCAGCGGTGGCTGGGGTTGCTAGGACGCGGCAGCGGCAAGCCGCTTCTTGCACGTGGTCCACACAGTCGGTAGCGAAGAGTCGCTTTACCAGATGACCGACACTCAGGGGACTAACAGGCCTTTCCCTGACGATCTTAAGGTGCTCCGCGGCTCGTTCTCCGAGCTGCAGGCACGCTTTCGCCCAGGGAGCAGTCTTAGACGTGCGGGGTGCGTCCCAGTCACTCACCGCTTTCGATGTTGCGTTGACCCTCTCCGCTCTCTCCGGTGGCTGCTTTGACCTCTCGGTTTCTTCCTTAACTCTTTCTTCTCTTCTTCCGTGTACTATCTTACTATTATTGAGCTCACTAAACTAACTGTCCGTCTCTTAGATCCCACTAAGACCACGGGTTATTGACGTCAAGGTTTTTTGTGGTGAAGTCTCCCTTCTTCGAAAATGAAGAAGATCCCGGAGACACCAGCTGATCTCCTGATCCAGGATAGATATCTCACTTAATATAAGCTAAAGATGTCCCGTTCGGGTGCCACTTATGGCATGGGCCCCTTGCACAGCAAGGAATAAATGACGCTCTTCGTGCGGTGGTGAGACAAAGAGAAAGTTTATTCAAAATTCCCACTCTTAAATCCCTGTGTACCATGTGACTTCTTCAGCCAATAGAGTTATATGTGACTGCGCATGTCCCCTCGGGCCCATCGCCCTGGCACATCCCCTGTGCATCCAGACACGCCTCCTACATCTGGGGAGCTTTGAGGGGGGATCAGGGGAGCTTTGGGGGGCTCCAGGGGGCTGGGATGTGCTCAGGGAGGAGGCTGAGAGTGTGAGGAGGGGTTTGGGGGGGTCTGGGAGGCTTTGAGGGGGTCAGGGAGGGCTTGGGGGGGGTCAGGAAAGGGGCTCCAAGGATCTGGGGACATGCTCAGAGAGGAGGCTGAGAGGCTGAGGAGGGGGCTTTGGGGGGGATCTGGGGGGCTGTGGGGGGGATTTGGCGGAGGCTCCGGGGCGGTCTGGGATGTGCTCAAGGAGGGGGCCAAAGAGCTAGTGGGAGGGCTTTGGGAGGGTCTGGGGGGCTGTTGGGGCGATCTGGGCGGGCTCCAGAGGGCGGTCTTGGGGCCTTTGGGTGTCTCAGATTGAGGTTCTTGGTGTAGGGGACCCTGGGTTTGGGTCCCAGTTTGGGGTTCCCTGGGTTTGGGGGATTCTCAAGGGATTTGGAGTGGTCCCAGTTGGGCGGTCCCTGGGTTTGGCGGGTTGTCCCAGTTGGGGTCCTGGGTTTGGGGGTCTCAGGATTTGGCTAGGTCAGTTGGGGGTCCCTGGGTTTTGCGGGGGTCCATGTCTTTAGGAGGATCCAAGCAAGGGCTGTTTTGGGAGGGGGGGAAATTTTGGGGGTTCTCCCCCCCCCCCAAGGACAGGGAGCCCATTTTGGGGGTCCCCCAGCCCCCCTTAACCCCCTTTTTCCCCCCAAAGTTGGGGCACCCCTCGGAGCTGCCCCCCGAACCCGCCCCCGACTACGAGGGGGACGAGGAGTTCCTGCGCCGCGTTCACCACGTGCTGCTGGAGGTCAGGGGGGGCCCCAAACCCCGGGGGGGGTCCCCAGAGCTGGGGGAGCCCCCCTGACCCCCCTGTTTTGTTTGTGTGGAAAAATCCCAAGTTTTATTCGTGTGGAAGAATCCCGAATTTTATTTGTGTGGAAGAATCCCAAATTCTCAGGGTGTCGCCCCAAAAATGGGGGGGTCCCAAAGGTGGGAGGGGGGTAAAAAGGTGGCCCCTGATGGGGGGGGAGCCCCAATTCCTCCTCCCTCCCCCCAAAAACTGCTGTTAAAGCCCAAACGGGCTGTGGGGGTGTTGCCTGAACAATCTCATTTGCATACGGGGCGGGGCTATACCAAGCACCACGCCTATATGCAAATTAACGACGACATTTGCATGTAGAGCGGGGTGAGACCTGATTTGCATAATGGGCGGGCGTTGTCTGCGAATGAGGTGGCGTGTGGACGTTTCTCATCCATATTCATGAGGGGGCGGGCTTTGCCACGCCCCTTCTGCTCATCCCTCCCTGTTATTCCCCGCCCGCGGCCAGAGCGCCCCCACAGCGCGGCCCCATCCTCGATGGTTCGCGGCGGCAGGGGCGGGCGTCGCCGGAAGTGACGTCAGTGGGCGGGGGCAGAGGCTTGAGGCGGGAGCGACGATTGGAGTCGAGGGGTCGCGGTGGGACAGTGAGGCGACCCTGAGGGGACAAGGAGGAGACCGAGGGGATCGGGAGATATCTGAGGGGACCGTGTGGGGAAGAGGTGTGAGGGGATCGTGAGGAGCGGGGGCGGGGGACGGACGGTGAAGGTCTGAGGGGTCCGGGAGGGTTTGAGGGTGGGAGAGCTGGGAGGAGGAGGGCGGGGCGACCCGCGGGCGAGGCGGAGGAGGACAATGAGAGGCCTTAAGGAAGATGGGGAAGCGGCGGGGGGCGGAACACTGAGAGGCTGGAAGGGGGATTATACGTGGGGGGCTGTGAGGGTTGGAGGTGCGTGATGGGGCCTTGAGGGACAGGGAGGGAAGAATCGGGACTAGAGGCGGCATGAGGGCCCATGAAAGGCGAGGGGGGGACAGTGAAGGGGGAGGGGGGACAGGCAGGGGATGGGGAGGTGGCTTTGTCGTCGGCCTGTCTCCCTGTGCCTGTCCCCTGAGTGTCCCCTGGCTGTCCCCAGGCACCATGTCCTCTACATCTAAGAAGTACCGGGACTTCGTGGCGGAGCCTCTGGAAGATAAGCCTGTGGGGACCTTGGCCGGAATCGGGGAAGTGCTGGGCAAGAAGCTCGAGGAGAAGGGATTCGACAAGGTGGGGACACCTGGGGACATCCCTGGGGGGTTGGAAACAGGACCCCCTTGGGGACACTGGGGACACACACAGGGACCCCTTGGTGACACGAGGGGGTGCAGAACCCCCTTGGGAACACGAGGGTGTCCCCACCCCCCCGGCGTGACCCCCCAGAACCGGGGGCAGTTCCCTGGTGCTCTGTCAGGACGAGGAAGCCGTCGGAGACCCGGGGATGGGGTGGAAAGGAGCCCCTCAGGCGACACTGGGGGGGGGGTCAGTGACCCCTGGGGGTGTCCCCTGTCCCCTGGTGACTCCCCGGTGACATCTCTGTGTCCCCCCCCAGGTCTACATGCTGCTGGGGCAGTTCCTCCTGCTCCGTAAGGATGAGGAACTGTTCAAGAAGTGGATGAAGGAAACGTGCGGAGCCAAAGCCAAGCAGAGCCAGGACTGCTGCTCTTGCCTAAGAGTGGTGCAGTGCGTTTCTTTAGAATCCCAACCGAGCCTGGACACCTCCACACCATACCCGAGCACCCCAAAATTCCCCCCAGCTTCCCCTGACACCCCAAACCCTCCCTCCGCCTCCACAAACCTCCCCGGAGCCACCCCCAGAACTCCCAGGGAACTCCAACTGCCAGACATATCCGGGGACAGTCTGAGCCCCCTAGAGGGGCTGGCGGCTCTTCTGAGTACCCCAAAACCATCTGTGGGGACCCCCAAGCCCCTCTGGGTAACCCAAATCCCCCCTGCACCCCAAAAGTCACCCCTGGCACCCCAAACCCCTCCCCAACCCACCTCCAGAAGTCCCAGGGAACTCCAACTGCCAGACACACCTGGGGGCAGTCTGACCCCCTAGAGGGGCTGGAGGCTCTTCTGAGTACCCCAAAACCATCTGTGGGGACCCCCAAACCCCTCCAGATACCCCAAAGCCACCAGAAACCCCAGACCACGCTCAAAGTCCTGGTGAATTCCAGCTGCGAGACACAGCCAGGGGCAGGGGGACCCCTCCCCCCAGTGTGCTGCTCCTCCCCTATGACCCCAAAAACCCCCCGCCCTGGGGTGGGATTTTGGGGTGCCCGGGAATTGGTGTTATTTTTGAGGGTGTCCCCCCCGCCCAGCAGCGGAGTCTGCCTTATTTAGGGGGCATCCCCTCGTCCCTCACCCCCTTAGTTTCTTTTTAGAAGGATTTAATAAATAATAAAGGTTTTACTGTGCTGAAAAAACGGCCCCTCCTGCCCTGAGGGGGGATTTGGGGGGATTTATCCCCCCCTGGAGTATTTGGGGACTCGAGGGGAAGTTTCACTATCCCAAGGATTTGGGGAGAGGATTTACCCTCCACAGAAGGATTTGGGGGGTGGGAGGAGGATTTAACCTCCCCACGGGGGGATTTGGGGTTGGGGGATGGTTTTAAACCCCCCCCGGGAGGATTTTGGGGGGACAATTTATGCCCTTTCAGGAGGATTTGGGGGCTTGGGAGGAGGTTGTAGGGGGGTTTGGGGACACCCCCCTTCCCCCGGGAGGATTTGGGAGGAGGATTTGGGGGGCTGGGAGGAGATTGGGGTGGGGGGGTTGGAGGACACCCACCCGCCTTCCCCCGGGAGGATTTGGGAGGAGGATTTGGGGGGCTGGGAGGAGGTTGGGGGGGTTTTGGGGACCCCCCTTCCCTGGGAGGTTTTGGGGGGCTCAGGGCAGCCTGGCGGAGTCCTCCAGAGCAGACGAGTCTCGGTCCCCGGAGCGGCGGGCGCGGCCAGAGCGGCGCCCCGCGGGGGCAAAGTGGCGGGAACATTCGATCATGGCCCCGCCGCCTCCCCACAGCCGACCCTCCCCGGGACGCCCCGCGGGGTCCCCGGGCCGCCGCCGCCCCCGGGCCCCCACCCCCTGTTCGCCCGATGGCTCCGGGAGTGCGGGACGAGGCCCAGGGCACGTGGCGAGGGGCACCTCACGAGAGGGTGGGTCTGGGAGGGTCCCGGGGGTGTTTTTGGGGGAGGCCTGGGGAGGGGGGGGCGTCCAGCTGGTATTTGGGGCGTCCTCAGGCGCGTTTTGGGGTCCCTGGCTACTGATTTGGGGGTCCCCGGGTGGGTTTTCGGGTCCCTGGGTGACCTTGGGGGTCCACAGGTAGATTTTGAAGTCCCCAGGTCGGTTTGGGGAACCCCAGGAAGGTTTTGACCTTCCCAAAACCTGACTGGGTTTTGGGGTCCTCAGGGGGATGATTTCGGGGTCCTCTGGGGGGGGGTTGGGAGATCCCAGGTGGATTTGGGGCCGCTCTGGGCAGTTTCTGGGGACCCTGCGGGGATGATTTTTGGCTCCCCAGGTATATTTTGGCTCCCCAGGTGTACATTTTGGCTCCCCAGGTCTATAATTTGACTCCCCAGGTATATTTTGGCTCCCCAGGTACATTTTGGCTCCCCAGGTGTACATTTTGGCTCCCCAGGTATATTTTGGCTCCCCAGGTGTATAATTTGGTCCCCAGGTATATTTTGGCTCCCCAGGTGTATAATTTGGCTCCCCAGGTATATTTTTGCTCCCCAGGTATATTTTGGCTGCCCAGGTGTGTATTTTGACTCCCCAGGTGTCCCTGGAGTCCCCAGGTATATTTTGGCTGCCCAGGTGTACATTTTGGCTCCCCAGGTGTATATTTTTGTTTCCCAGGTATATTTTGGCTCCCCAGGTGTACATTTTGACTCCCCAGGTATATTTTGACTCCCCAGGTGTACATTTTGGCTCCCCAGGTATATTTTGAGGTCCCGGGTGTACATTTTGGCTCCCCAGGTGTATATTTTTGTTTCCCAGGTATATTTTGGCTCCCCAGGTGTACATTTTGGCTCCCCAGGTATATTTTGGCTCCCCAGGTGTATAATTTGGGTCCCCAGGTATATTTTGGCTCCCCAGGTGAATATTTTGGCTCCCCAGGTATATTTTGGCTCCCCAGGTGAATATTTTTGTTTCCCAGGTATATTTTGGCTCCCCAGCTGTATTTTGGCTGCCCAGGTGTGTATTTTGGCTCCCCAGGTGTCCCTGGAGTTCCCAGGTGTACATTTTGGCTCCCCAGGTGTACATTTTGGCTCCCCAGGTGTATAATTTGGGTCCCCAGGTATATTTTGGCTCCCCAGGTGTATATTTTTGTTCCCCAGGTATATTTTGGCTGCCCAGGTGTACATTTTGGCTCCCCAGGTGTATTTTGGGTTTCCAGGTGTCCATTTTGGGTCCCCAGGTATATTTTGGCTCCCCAGGTGTATATTTTTGTTCCACAGGTATATTTTGGCTCCCCAGGTGTATATTTTTGTTCCACAGGTATATTTTGGCTCCCCAGGTGTATATTTTTGTTCCCCAGGTATATTTTGGCTGCCCAGGTGTATATTTGGGTCCCCAGGTGTACATTCTGGCTGCCCAGTGAATCCGAAAAATCGGTCCAAGAAACTGCTCAGAGCCCTTTTTATCTTTAAGCAGCAAGGTATTTGTTTATTCAACGTTGGGAGCAAGCTTCTAAGTCTATTACATGTTCCTGTACTATGCTCTGAAGCTTTGCTCCAGTCAGTAGAACAGGACGAGCACAGATGGTTTTGGATGTTGGTAGCTTGTTAACAGGCCCAAATTTCTTAATTAACTGTTTTGGGCCTGGCCTCCTGTTTCATTCCCCTTTTTTTGTTTAGAATTTACGAATTCTTTCGTCAAGTTCCAATGGATTTTGGTAGGTATTCATCACAGCCCACATTATCTGCATCCCTCTAACCATGATGCTTGATTTGTACCATAGCCAAACAGTTAGGATCAGCAGTGTAATCATGCCAGCTCCTAATACCAATATTGGATGTATCAAATAGTGGAACACTTGTGATGCTGTGAGGGAGTATCCAGTAAAGATGTCCCACCAGTGGTGCTCTCCCACTTTTTCCACTTTGGTTAAAACAGTTTTTATACTCTCAGTGTCGTGTTCCACCTGCCAGAGCATTCATTTAGTCGTTCTGTTTACTTCCTGGACCAGTTTTACTATATCAGGATGTTTAAGCATTGCTTTAAAAGATTAGTGTTCATTCCTATCTGCAATTTTGGCACACCATGATACATTTTATAATCAGCTTCAATCAGTTGTCTGGTAGTCACTAGAATGATATAATCAAAGTCACAGCCTGTTATTTTAGTCAAACAAAAAATTAGTACCACTCACTACTTCATGACAAATATCTATGGTAAAATTAACACAAAAGATTCTAACACATGCACATCCATTTCCTACGTAATAGACTTGTGATTGGGCTTCAGCATGGGGAAGCATCTCAAAGGTACACCCACTATCTTCAGCATCTAAGCATAAATCTTCATTTCCTACTACAGCATTTTCACAGATATATCCTAATTGTCCTTTAGGAGTACATGCCTCAGGACTGACTGGCTGCCACTTTTTCTTGGTGTGATCATAACTTGCCCAAACATTTTGGTCTGTGGGTCTGACAATTACATTTTGGTGTATGGCTCCTAATGCCAGGATAGGAAAGATGGTCTTTTCTTTGGCTGCACTGATAGTGAGTACATAAGCTTCAATTTGTTCATGTTGAGGGTTGTAAGTAAAATTTACTAACTGCCACCACGCTTGGTAATCTTTCTCAAATTGGGTAGTGGAACTGTTTCTAGCTATTATTTCTCTTACTTCCTGTGGTAATATTCCTGAGGTTCCTTTCCTTAATATTCCTGCGGCTACAGATTGCACCCACTGTTGAGTTTGGAGACATTGTACTGCAAGTGCAAACCTTTTATGGATGACACCAGCATAAGTCAATAATTTTGGTGAAATCTTTTGCAGTGTGGTTAGCTGCTAATGTTAACAATTTAACTGCCAATGACTGTGTTTCTGCCAAAGTGAGCAAAGATGATCTTAAAGGGACTTTGAATTTTCCTAGATCAGATGTGACAGCACTTAGTTTATTCACTAATACCTTTTGATCTATGGTGTTTAATACACCTAATCCTGTGCCAAACTATCCAGTTACATCTCTTTGAATTCTGGTACGAGGGGATCTGGCCATCATCCGTGCATGCCACCTTTTAAGGCTTTGTTGAATACAGGGCTGACAATCTTTTTGTATGTTTGATATGTTTACTTGAAGGTTTATTCGAACCCTCTTCAGTGAATATGTGGGATCTAACAACAGCTTCTGCTCATTTGAGTGTCCAATCATGTAAGGTCCAGCAGAAGTTAAATTGTGGACACTCTCACAGGCTAAAGAAGGAGTTGTAAAACTGGTGGTGGTCTTAGTCAATGGGGTGGGAGGAGATTTGCTGATTGGAAATCTCCTGGTTATTTTTCCTTCCCTGAATGTCCACTGACACATCACAGGAACTGATTTATCTGGAGTGAAGGTGTGCCAACATTGATCAGCCACTAATTACATTTCACAGTAACATCAGTTCTGGGTGACCATCTAATCTGTGCCTATTAAAACACTTGCATCGTATGGGGTACCAGGATTTTACCAATTATTCAGTGCCCTTGTTCCTTGGAGGACTATAACAGATGCATTGTATTGGTTCAGTTCAGGTGAATTCAGAATATCTGTATTTATAGCAAATCATAGACTAGAATTCGCATTATAGGC